TAAGTGTATTCCGTCTTTGTCTGGGAACCGTTTGTTGTATTCATGTGTTATTGCTTCCTCAGCAAATGTTTGGGTTAAGTTCTGACCTTGTATACTATTTTCGTTGCAAGGACAGGAGGGATAACAATATCTTCACTTGATATCATTTGCAATTACAATGGCTCTGATATTCGTGGTATTTCGGTGAATGCGGAATCCCCGGGCGAAAGAGAGGTAGGTGAGGCCATGATAACAAAGAAACCATACCCTTTACCCTATTATAACAGTGATAACAATACCTATTTTCATAATAGTTCCAGATTCTTGGGCCCTTTAGTTACCTTTCGTTAATTAGGATAATGCATGCTATCTGATGATATATAAGAGTATTTTCAAAAAGGATTCCCTCAGTGAATTAAAAACTCATATGGACAATTCTCATTAAAGGAAACACCTGCACTTCTATGATCTTTTAGATGTTCTTTTTTTCTTTTTCTTTGCAGTCAAATGGTATTGCTAGTCTAAATGATTCTTAGAGGCAAGATAAAAGTACCCAGTTTCTAATCAAAGGAGATCCTTATAACTAGTCGATGCCGACATAAATGGCCTTATGGACTGGAATAGATAACACTGTAAAACGTAAATAAAATATATGGAATTCTAAGTATTAGGTTTCCACCGTTCTTTTTAAATATGCCTTGTGGAATTATTGCTTTACAAAGGCGTAGTGATTCTTTTAATGATAAATGTCAAAAAGCAAGGCAACAACAAAAACAATAACAACAGCAGCACCATCATACACAATTTATTCTTTTCTAAATAGTTATTTTTACTCTACATTTTTTTATTTCTTTCTCCTCTCATTCTACCACCCTAGTTCACTTTCCGGTCGGGTGAGAAACATCACTACGTCTAGTTATGGTGCAAAGGTGTTATTATAAGCAAAATAAAAAAAAATCATAAAGTTCCTTGTACCTCGTGCTTTCTGATTCACAGAACTGTATTTTATTCTTCTTAGATTTGTAATTTTATGGTTCTTTTATTTAGATACTATTACATATCACCCTTAGTGTACATTGAGATTATTCGTTTTGTAAAGTTGAGAGTGAATGCGATAACCAAGCCTTATTTTAACTATTACTACATAGCACTGTCTTGTTCGTAAGTGAGCCAAAAGGAGAATTTACACTTACATACTGATCATAGTTCTTCCAGGAATATGTGAATGGATGAGATGATATGGATTTTCTTTGGCTGAGTTTGGAAACACCGCTGACATTCTGGTAAGCAACAGCATAAGACCACCTATTTCTAGAGCACATACCATAGTAAAAGTATGTTTATATTTTTCGGTTTTGGAATGATGATGATTAAGGTTTCATTCCAGGAGGTGTGGGAGATGCTTAGTAAACCCATTTTGAGAATAATACACATTTTTTTTTTCTGCCAATATATGAACAAGATATTATATTGCCATTTATAACTCTGGCTACACCACGGAAGGCGCAGTTTTACAAAGACTGTCGCTTGAAATACTCCGTTCTTATTCCAGTGTTCTGCTTTATCTCTCGTGGTTTGGCCCCCTTGATTTATGAGTTGCTGTTGGGAACATTAGCCGTCGTTGTGCGTGGAGACATAGACGCAGAAATCGGCTGGATATTAACCGCAGACTTTTGTGTGGAAGCAAAGAGGTTAGAAAAAATACTACGACTGCAGCTACTGTTGCTACTTGTTCTGCTACTGCTACTACTACTACTACTACTACTACTACTACTATTACTACTACTACTACTATTACTACTACTACTACTACTATTACTACTACTACTACTACTATTACTACTACTATTACTACTACTACTACTACTATTACTACTACTATTACTACTACTATTACTATTACTACTACTACTACTACTACTACTACTATTACTACTGCTGCTGTTGATAACAATTACAACAATATTGCTAGTACTAAAAATATTAGTAATGTGGATATTGATCACAGTGATTATAATAGTTACAACAACATTTATGATAATAAGAGAAAAATAATTGGGTAGAAGGCCATGATGATAATGATAGTTTTACTAACGTAGCAGATAATGATAATGAAAATCATAGCAGAGTGTTAAAAATAAAAGGTAAAGATAATAATAACAATAATGATGGAAATTATCACAATGAAAATACTAATAGCGAAAATAATCATGATTGCAATAATGATGATAATGATAATTATGATAATAATGATAACAATAACAACAACAATAATAATAATAATAATCAGAATGATAATAGATATAATAATAATAATACTAAAATACTACTACTAACATTAATAATTCTAATAATAGTAACAATAACAATCATAAAATCATCATCATCATCATAATTATCATCGCTCATAATAATAATAATAATGACAATAATAATGATGATGATGATGACGATGACAATAAAATTATGATAATAACACAAAAAAATACAATATCTATAAGAGCAGTAAAGCTAATATGTT